CACAGCTAGCAAGTAATAGCAAGTAAAGGCCTTTTGCTCAAACTGTTATCCTCCTGCTACCCTTAAGGACCAAAATGTCTTGAAGACCTTGGAGTACTGCCAGTCTTTTGATAGAGACTCAAGAATTAAAATCCTGTCAGATAGTGTTCCAGATCTTCAGAGAAATAATTACAACCAACTTTCCCATTCCCATCCATCTCTTCCCTATTCTATTGATGATTTAGTTTAAATTAAAAAAAGCTTTTTTGTGGTCTAGCTTCATAATAGGGTTGTTTTATAATATCTCAATTTGTCTCAAGCAATTTTTCTAATAGTGTGCGTCAGTAGAAGCAAACATGTGCTGAACACTTACTGCAGTAACATCTACTTGGCAGATAGATTTTTTTCAAACATCAGATGCAGTGTTTTTGCAAAAGTGACATAAGGAGGGTTACTTGGCTTTCAGAAACAATGTTAACCTTTATACGTTGTACTTACTCAGAAATCTCAATGTGCTTAACGGATTATTAAGATAATTATGAAAATCTCTAATTTGCAGATGGGGGAAGCTGACACAGAGAGGGTAAATGTGTTGCCCAAAGGCACACATCAAAGTCAGAGCAGAAAAGGGAATGGAGATCAAGACTCCCGACTTGCATATCTCATTCAAACAAAATCCTCTTAAAAAGAGCACAGGTTGAACTCGGGCCGAAATGCTGAGATGTAAACAAGTTCTTCTGCTAAGTGGTGGGAACGTTCCTGAGAAATATTTAATCAAAATGATGTGCTTTGCCCAGCAGTACTGCTCTAATCCACACAAAGCTGTTCCTCCCAGGAGGAGAAACACTGCACAGGGTGGCACCTTTCCCAAAAAAATGCAATTCTGACAGAGGAGCCTCAGTACAGCTGATGAAAAGCAGAAAAACAGAACAGCAGATACACTATTTTCTTATGCATGCCATTACTGCTCCCATTTCTCATCCTCCTTATCCAGACTGCAAGTAAAATAAAATAAAAAGGGAGGGGATCCATTTATGGGGATTATAGGTAAGTTTAGGGGACCATCTTTCTTGGTCCCCAGCTTCAGAGTTGTAGTACCCAATAATTACGTGGCTGGATGCAGCATGGTGATTCAGATCAGAGGCCTCTGCCCCCTCTCAGGCTGATGCAGGTAGGTGGGCATCTCTGAAAGCGTGAACTGTGAGGCCCGCGAGCTGTGCACAGAAACAGTTAAAACTAACGAAGAGGATGTGCAAAGCCAAGAACTGTGTGAATGGCTGCCTCTTTCTGAAGCTTTGGTGTGAGATTCGAGCCTGCATTTTTGGATGTTTCAGACCTTCAGCAGGTGTCTGCAGTCCTTTCCTGATGAAAGATGCTGAAGTAAATGTGGGCTTCATGTGCAGCTCAATGTTGCACATCTCACAGAAGCAGAGCCAGTTTGAGGTTCCACCTCCCCCCAGCTGCTTGCATCATTGCTCCCCGCCACCCCCATTTCATCTCTACAGCCCTCCCTCCCTCAAAGATTTTTATTCACTCATCTGTTTCAGAGCACAGCTATACAAATAGCTTTGTGGAAGAGTCTGGTTCAACAAGGCAGGCTCCCATTCTTTCTCCCTTCCATCATTCCCCTCAACCTCCCTTTAAAAAAGCAAAAACAAAAAAAAAGCGAAAACAAAAAACAAAAACAAAAACCTCCAGCACAGAGTGCTTTTGTGTTTGCAGCAGACTATTTCACTGAAAGGGCTTAAAGTGCCCATGCAAACAGCTGAATCCGTAGAGCTGGGAGTACTCTAACCCCTGGGCAAGGGGGTGAGGGAGAGGCAGGAATTTGCTGGTGCGGGTACCTTTGCTCTCCTTAAAATATATCCCCAAAGGGGAGCTCCCGCAGTGCAAGCTTAGGAAGAGAGAGACTGCTGTTCTCTTCACTCTTGGCCATGTCTGCATCCTTATAGGATGCCCACATGGGGCAAATAATACATGAGAATAGTTGATTTTTGGTTAATGCGTTCTCCTTCTGTGGAAGCTAGACTGTAGCACAGCCAAATACAAAGCTTGTCAGCCAGAAGAACAAGGCGATAAGGACCGTCCGTTTTCCTTACGGATTAGGATGCTCAGTTCACAGGTTTTCCACTTCTCACCCTCAAAATTGTTTATGAGCTTTGATAATTGTTAAACAAGAAATCAGAAGTAGTCCATATGTCATAGACTTGATTTCATGTTTGCCCTTCTTGGAGAAGGATAATAACCTGTGTAGTGTTAGGCTGTTACTGGAAAAAGTGCACAGCACTAGAAATTATTTTGCAGGCTAGATGTTCTTAATTCTGCCCCCTCTCCCCCCTTCCCTGGGAAAACACAACTTTTCTTTGATAGTTTGTATGTGTTTGTCCTTGTTTTGGACCTTTTGGTGATGTCATTCAGGCTACAAAGGTAAGTCTCAAATGCTAAATTTTTGGAAATGTTACAGGTGGCCAGGTACAAGTGGTGAGTGATCCTAACACAATTCTAGTGAAGGACTGCTCTCAAATTGGATTATTTCTTCATTAGATTTGTAGGAATCCACATGACAGATATGAGTGTCTTAACTGCAGGAGAAGCTCCAGCCTGTGTGTGTTTTTTTTTTTTTTTTGTTTGGATTTTTTCCAGTCCCCTGTGCAGGCTTTGTAATGCTTAGTCTAACAGCAGTTCTGCAGCTAGGGCATTCATATCATCTTCCTCCTGTATGGATTCACTGATGCCTGAGGTGGTGATCTCCTGGTGCTAGTTTAAGGTAGATCTATGTCTTTTAGTTCGGTCCAAGAGTATACTTTTTAAGCACATCTCCTGATCGTCCCCAGTTACAGTGATCTCAGACCTAGATTTGTTTTATCTGAAACTAAACTGAAAAATAGACTTTAGGGAGGACCCTTAATGTGCTTCAGCTATGAATGGACATTCAGATCACTAGACCAGTCAAAATTAGTCATAAGAAACCTTCCTGAAATGCATTTAGTAGGGTGTTCCCAGAACAACTTGTCAAATGCAAGTGTTGTGGTCTTGTAGTTGTCTATCACAGGGCATTGTGGGAAAGTGAGTCTTTATGCAGATGTAAGCAGCACTTACTTGCACCCTTGCTCTTTCCTGTGGATTGCAATGAGGCTTAGAGGGTATTTAGGTACCTAGTAGTGGGATCTTTGAGATCTTCTGTAAGAGTCCATAACATAAGGAGATAACCTTAAAGAGCTTTCAGGCAAAGTAAGTGCGTAGTGAGTCTTATGGGGATTTAAGCTTTGAAATCTCATCACAATAAATTTCTGCTGAATAAAACTTTGGCACTGTATATATATTCTTTTTTTTTTTTCAAATTATTTCCTTTGAATCTTTTCAGGTTTTTTTTTTTTTTTCAAATTATTTCCTTTGAATCTTTTCAGGTTTTTTTTTTTTTTGAGAGCGAGATGGAGCAAAAAAGGGTATCGAGCAGTAAGATAACTGAGGAAAAACTGATCCTGTATTTGGAGCATACTTATCACTTCATGTCTCAGTTCACATCTGTTTAAGTTATCTGTTTTCAGCTTTTTGTTTCCCTGGCAATGAGAGCAAACACTATATTACTGCAACTTCTAACAATAACTCCCTGCTTCCCTCTTCTGCTACACTGATCTGGTCCCACAGATATTCACATAAAATCATTCTTTGTAACTAGCTTTATTTCATATGGACACTCTCTGTAAAATAATTATGTATTTGTGATGTCCACATGCCCTACAAGGCTATTAGTGTGTGCCTACCGAGGCCCTTGTGATAATATCCAGTTCTAACACTAACTCTGTATATAAACTCTATAAAAAACTGAAAATATACATGCCCGTGGCCACAGTTCTAAGTATCGTAGACTTGAAATGTTCAACCAAAAAAGAAGAAAACCCAAGAAGTTTAAAAATAATTGTGGCACCTTTCTTCTTGCTCTGTAGCTGAAGTCTTCCTCACCACTTCCCCTGTACACAACTGAGATTTAAAACTTTGACTTGTGAATAAGTTATGCCCTGAAACTACTGATCCAGTATTTTGTTCAAGGAGCAGGCAGCTCAGCTAGCGAAATAGCTGTTCTAGTACTCAGAAATAGTGATAAGCGTTCTTAGCTACCTTCTCAGCTTCTATCCTCTAGTGCCTTTGTGCATTTGCTTTTGTCTGCAACTATGAATTGTGTGGATTTGGGGAATAACTCACACTTGAAAAGGAGTGTGTGTAGTATTATGTATGCGGTTCCTTTTTAACATTATGCCACCACTTTCTACTGATATCTTCCAGTTAGAATTTGCATAGTACGTAGCCTGTGGGATGGTGGGAATGCATTGTAAGAGGCTGTAGGAATCTGAGACAATGTGGAGAAGCAGTGACTGAAGGATATGATTCTGATGTAGAAGTGCACCAAACTGTTTTTATTTGAAAGAGATTTCATGAATAGTAGTGACTTTCAGTTGAGGAAAAGAAGAATAGAGTTTAGCCATTTGACTAGTTGATCTTCAGCCAAGTAGAACTGGATAAGGCTTAGCTTGGAACCAGCAAGCTGGCAGCTCCTGATCAAAAGGGGTCAATACAGAACAGTAAGTATCCTTCTCTTGCAGCACTACCCTATACGTACAGTGTGGGATGAATACTGTCTCCATGGGCACCAACCTAAAAACTTCTAAAACTTTAACTTGGAAGCTATACCTTAAGTTAAACATTCCTGCAAAATGCTGAATCAATTGCTAAAAATTGTTGTAATAAAAATTGTTTAACAGACTGCATTTGTCTGGCCAAGGCCGTAGATCGCATAACTGGAACTGGACGCACCCAGCCTAGCTGCTTCCATGTTGCCTCTGGTGTGGAATGTGGAATTGGCTGGAATGGAAGCAACACTCCCTCTCGAAAGCTAGGAGCGAGTGGTGTCTGCTGGACTTACAAGCATGGTTTAATAGTCTAGCTAATGAGATGGAGTCGTGGATATTTAACTGTCCTATCAGTGGTTCAGAAAAAGCTAGCAGTAACTTGAAACCACACTTTTTGAACACATCCTCTGGAACGTTGTTCAGGGTTGCATATCACAAGCATCAGACACTCCCCCCCACCCCCCCTTTTTTTTTTTATTTTTTGGACATTTGACCTGGATGTCAGTGAATTCACTTAAGGCAGTTGTTTTTCATAATTAGGGGGTTGCATGCGAAGACCAAAACACTTAAATGTGGTAACTGCAATGTGGCAAAGACACTAGAGGAGAAGATACTAATTAAAGTGTCTTCAAATAAGCATATGGATGAAGATAACTGGGAATTTAAATTTACGAATTTTGCCAACAGTGCAGAGATATGTTCATCAGATGACTTCTAAGGAGTTTTAAATGTTACCTTTTTTTTCCCCCAGCAATATTTGTTTCTTGTATTTGAGGAATGTTTGTTTCTTGTATTTCAGTAATCACTTAGGGAAGAGTCTGCAGCTGCTGATGGACAGAGTGGATGAGATGAGCCAAGACATTGTCAAATACAATACCTACCTGAGGAATGTAAGCAAACAGCAGCAGCAGAAGCACCAGGTTGGTAACAGGGAAGAGGGGGAGGACTTTTCCCACAAAATACAGCTTTAGGTGGGGTTATATCTAGCACAGATGGATTTGGATTTTTATCGAAGCAAGATAAAATTCCTATAGAAATATATCAATTAAATAGATTTATGAAATGTTACAGTAAGTGGTGAATCATCAGATGGAAGTATTTCTGCTGAGATGTAATATGGATTGGTCTTTCTGTCTTTGCCATTTTACATGTTTGTTGCTGATTTATGGTAAAACACAAAATGACTAGTAAATATAGTGTGGACCAAAGGACTAGAGGATAGGCAAATGAATTGGAAAAGCAGGAACTGCTAGTGAACTGATCCAAAGCAAACTCTGTGTTCTAAGACCATCATATGTAGTCATGCATCTAGGAATAAAGAAACACAATCTATATTTAAAAGACAGTGGACTGTCTGCTAATCAATGTTATTTTCATGTTTCGTCTCAGGAGATGGTGATACTAATCAGATTATGTTGGCACTTACTTCCTAATGCCAAAGGGGCTGTTTAAAATCCCAAATAGTCTGATTAGGGATCAGAGTATGGTAATGAATATTACCAGCATTCAGAAGAATGCTGGTAAAATGGAGAAAAGCTCCATGAGAATGATTGAAAAGCCTGAAAGCAGATCACAATTCACTTCATGTGATAAATGAAGTTAGGGAGTGACCTGCTTACTCTAGACATACCTGCATGAAAAATAAATTTTACCTCTTTAATCTAGCAGTCTGTGATATGAAAAGATCCAATATCTGCAAGCTGAAAATGGACCAATCCACGTTACAGACAAAGCTTTGCAGATATTGTTACACAAAGTAGCTAAATATTAAAAAGAACATCTGTGATTCATGTGAAGTACTTCATCACTATTTTAAAACTGAGTTTTTCTTTGTTCTTTTCATTTAAGTAAAGTTGTAGTTTGAATGGGAAATACTTTAGGAAAGGAATTACATGATCAGCGGTCTCTCCGGGCTTGCTTATTCTTGAGGATGTAGAAGCTTGCGGCATGTTATTTTCATAAAACTTGCTTTCCTTTGCTGCCTGCTTTGAATAGAAAGATGGTAACTAATGGTACTCGCTTCAAAGGTTATGTGAATAACAAGGGGATCTATTTACTTGGAAGAGCAGAGCAAAGTAGGTTCCATGGTGTCTCACTTATTTCTTTACTAACTATGACTGCTTTAGTAGTGGCTCATTGCAGCATAGTTAGTGGTCTTAATTTCATTTTTAAAATGGAGCAATTGTGATTAAGAACAAGCTGTTTCAATAGAGAATAATAGGCAGACCGCTGAGAAGTGAATGGGGTAATGCGAAGAAAGAAGAAAGTAAATGAAATTCACATACAAATATGGACATTTAAGATTTTATTTTTAACATTGTCCAAAAGCTGTATTTGTCACTACTACTGGAAAAAGAATTACTTAATTTCAGTATGCCACCAAGTATGAACTGCTTATACACAGACAGATTTAAGTGAGTGAGAGAAAACACTCTGTACAATTTGGCCTGTTTATTTTAAGATTTTTTCATGTTGAATATGAGGTCTTAGAGAGGCGAAGCTTACAACTTTACATTTAATAAATATCCAATCCCAGCGTTAATTCTCGACTATGACATATATACAAAAGCTCACATGCAGGTTTTTAAATGTAGACACTTCTGCAAGAACAAATATTTATCCAATAGCTGAAAAATTTACCTGTCTTTTAACTTTTATGAAGTTTGAGTCATGTGCATGGAAAAGGGAACCACTCTAAACAAATATAACTTTTTTTAAAGAGTAAATTAATTCTTCCAAATGGCTACTCTAGTTCATCCTCTGGTAACCCACAGAGAAATGATATCAAAGTGGCAGAATATCTGAATAACTGGAATAGAGAAATGAGCTATAATGCTTTTGGGAAGCATATTTTTTTCAGCTACCGCTTTGTTCTCAGTTTAGAATTAGCATTTTTTGGCTTCGAACACCTTGATTTTAATAAAGTTCTCATCCCCTTTCACATTACCACCATTTTGACTTTTAACTTGCATAAAATTGACTATTTCTATCTTTTATATAACTATTTGAGACACTGACTTCTCAAAGCTTCATATTCTAACTGATGCGTTTGGGGAAAATGGAGCCGTGCATCTACCATACTGCATTCTTTCCAGCAGATACATTATTTATCTTCACAAAAAATCTTAAAAACAAAGTCCACCACCTCACTACAGCTCACTACAGCACAATTTTCTAGTGCATCACTTCTCCCCTTAGGTACCAACTCCAAAAAGAAAGAAATGCTTGCTATCCAGTGAACTGAAGTAAATTGAATTGCCTTTGTGGTTATCGTTTGGAGCTTGAGTTACTTTTTTGCTTGGTTGTTTGGTTTCTTGGATAGGGGGTGTTGTTTGTTTGAGGTTGGCTTGGTTACTCACCCCATGTGGGTAAATGTAATTTTTAAAACATGCTTGCTGGTTAGGTGAAGAGCATTTGAAGAGAAAGCTTTTAAATGTTTTTAAAGTCCTATTGCATTCTGTTTCTGTTGCTTTGTTTCTAGTACCAGCAGAGACGTCAGCAAGAAAATATACAGCGTCAGAGCCGAGGAGAAGCCCCTCTTCCTGAAGAGGACATCAATAAACTTTTTAAACCACCGCAGCCTCCTCCAAGAATGGAGTCACTGCTTATTGCAGGTAACGTTCTAGAAATCTCTTTCATCTCATAGTTCATCTTTTCACATATTAATGTTACCTCGGGAGGTGGTACAGTTGTTACCTCTGAAAGCATCTTGATTTTTTCATTGCATTTGACATTACAGTGTGATATTTTGGCACTGGTAGTATTCCAAATACTGTCCTCCTTTTGGTCGAAGACGGTGATTTCAACTTGTGATCTACAGCCTTCGTGTATGAATTAACCAAAAAAAGGTAGCTAGTAAAAACAAACCTATTGCTGGTAGGCAGGCTATGCCTCTATGAGAAAATGAGCTTCCACAAATCAACACATTTTAAACTACTGGTCTAGGGAAGTGGCTGAGGCATGTTACAAGATACTGTTATGAATGTATGTATTTTTTAAAAGCAGACTACCCTATTCAACCAGAATGGCTGCATAAAGCTTTAAATTTGGTGCGTGAATATGGAGATCATCTTCCTTTATTTCTTATTCTGTGATCAGAATAAGGCCCCTGACTGCACCCAGGGGGTTGTTGGGAGAGGAAAGGAGCAGCAACCAGAGCCCTCTTCTGAGGTGGTGAAATGGGATTTGAAAGCAGAGCCGGAGAAATGCCCTGGAGAAGCATGGCTTTCTGCACAAACGGGTGTAGCAGCTACTGCAGTCAATAAGCTGCTGTCTTCCCTCACACCCCAGCTCCTCCGTCAACACCGGAAATGGTGGAGCCGCACAGAAAAGAGGCAGCAATAAGCTGTTTGGGCTGGAACTGTTGAGTCAGAGCAAAGCAGTTGTCTGCCTTGTTATCTGCAGTTCAAAGTTGCTACTAGCATCTCTAAGTCTTAGGAGCCTGTTGCAGCAGCTTTAGAAAATTTCATTTTTAATTCTATATAGAACTGGGCAGAGGCCATGGCTCCACGCTGTGGCTCTGTGGCCAGAGTTCAAGAGAAACAACCTCCCCCCAGCCAACGTGCATGAAAATGTAAGCAGGAACAAAGCATAGTTTTGGGTGTGTGTTTTTTTTTTTTTCCTTTTTCAGTTCTCTGCTATGTTGCAATGTGTAGCCACAGTTTGATTTAAAAAAAAAAAAAAAAAAAAAAAAAGCACCTTTCCTGTGTCTGCAGTCTGGAAGGGCAACCGTTTGGGACCTCACAATGGCAACAGAGAACAGAAATCCCAGAACCCTGCTAAATAATTTAAGTTTGGAAAATGTGATGAGGAAGCAAATTGCTTAGCTATAGCAAGCTTCTTAGACCAGTTAACTATCACTATTAATTATGCTGGTGGTTTGAAAACTGGGTGTTAGGATGTTGATACAGCAAGGTTCTTTTGTTTTGTACAGATTAAGAATTAAACTGAGTCCTGGTGGTTTAGTGTACAGAAAAGATCGAGTGACTTGACATTAGAAAGTGAATTTGACCTGCTGCTTCTCAATTTTGGAGTGATCAAGTTTTAGCAAGTGATTTTTTTTATAGTGCTGCTTTTAGAAGAAGTAATACTATTGACTGAAAGACTCCAGTAGAAATAATAAAAAAGGCATTATTTTGGTATAATTTTTACCAGTTAAGGAGTGCTAGCAGCATTAAAATCTTTAAAATTTCAGCTTTAGCGTAGTTTAAAAATAAAACAAAGGAAGCATGTGCATGTATGTACATAGATGTATGTATGTTTTATGACAGTGGTAGTTTAGAATGAATCACAGCTTATAAGAGGAGAAATGGAAAACTATTATACTTAAAGGAAAAAACAACTTTAAGCCAAAGCACTTTCCTCATTTGTTCTTTTACTGTAATCAGGGGAGGAATTGAAAGCATCCACTTCAATTCAGATGAAGTAAAGTTTGTGGATAAAGAATAAAACTTAGCTCTTTTGTCTCTGAGGCATTTAAAAACTTTTCAAATAGAGTACTGAACTGGGAGTTTATTGGCCTTCTGAACAGTCTTAATTTTGATTATACTGGCATCATGTTTTGCTATTCCAAGCGAACAAGGGAAATAACTTGTAGCAGTACTTGTATAAAGATGTTTTGGTGGGCATGTTTGATTTGTATAGCACTGATGAGTTCTCACACTCTAATGGTTTTTGAAATACCTAATAAAGTGAAATATTAGGTAAAAAAAAAAAAAAAAGGCTAACAAAATGTCAAATGAGAGTACCACAATTTTCAATCCATTAGTGGAATATATTTACTGCAAATACTGTAATAGGGGACAGCAGATGCATAAGAACTGAATGGAAATTCAGTCTTGTATTTTTAGGGCAGCTAAATTTGAACAATTAATTAATGTGGTTAATCTTCTAATAGAACATAAAGAATTGTTTATTCTTTTTATTGTGCAGTGTCTTTTCAGAATTTGCATGTGTCGAACTGTATGCTTTTCAAGCATACCAGTTTACCTGTTCTGCTAACTTAATTTATTCTTCTTCCCAAACCTGTTTGGGAATACTGAAAATGTAAAAATTTCAACGCATGGAATAGTCAAGCTATTGTGGTTCCTTCTCTACATAAATGCTATATGATTCATGCATTTTGTTTTTTTTTTAAAAATCTTATTCTAAAATTTTGGGGGGAGTTTCACAACTGACAAAAGCTTCTTCTTTCCTACTGACAGGTCAAATTAATACCTACTGCCAGAATATTAAGGAGTTCAATGCGCAGAACCTGGGCAAACTTTTCATGGCTCAGGCTCTCCAAGATTACAACAACTGAAGAAACTTTGCTGTAATCCTCATCAGAAAAAAAAAAAGTTATTTACAGTTTTATACTGTTCATGAGCCTTTTGAAAATTTCGTATATTGAGAAAAGAATCTTGTAAAAACAGAGTCACCTTGGTTGTGTAGAATTCTCCTCTAAGAAAAATAAAGGCAAATTTTAACGATATTTTAGTATTTCCTTATTTGTTAGCCGTATTGGACTGGAATTTTTTGTGGTCACTCAGATTTTCTAAATGCTTGGCAGTTATTCATGTTTAGTCATAGCAAATAATAAAGGTGTTATTTAACTTGGAATCTGAAATAAAAACAAATTATTACAAATGTTCAAGATATCCGACTTCACAGAAGAAATCGTATGATTTCCCAGTTTTGATTGAGAACTTACAACCATAATATGCTCATCATTTGGAACACTTTTTTTTCCAATCTATTTGGACAGTCTGGTATAATGGAACTTCCACATGACAAATATTTCTTAGGCTTTGAGGTTGCAACATATAAAATTATTGCAATATTATATGGAGACTGATCCTCATCATACGTTAAGCTGTTTTCCTGTCTTCTGTTGCCACCAACAACTGGATTTAAGTCTACTGATGTTACTGAAGTCGTCATGAAAGAAACTGTAGTAGTGGTTTAACCTGGAGTACCTAGTGCGATGTAAATGGGCGCTGTATTTACTCCACATTGACTTTGCCATCTGGGCATGCCTTTATTCTTGAACTTGGGAGACTTTTACTTTTTAACATAGCATTCATTTAAGGTTTTGTTACATGCTAACTCATGCATCATAATGTCATTATGGTTAGGTTTTAGTTCTTGTATGTTTCTTGTGTGTCATTGCGTGGATGAGTCCTGAGAGCCTGGAATGGCTGAAGGAAAGTGGTTTGTTCTTTTAGACAGAACAACATTCTCCGAATACAAACCTAGCATGGAAAAATTCAGCCTCTAAGGTGAATGGTTTGGAAAGTCAGAAGTGTGTGAAAACTGGGGGTTAGACTAGGAACTTATTTTTTCAATCTTAACTGTAGCGATTGCAATACTTATGTAAATATATATGCAAATTTTGTTCAGCCCTCAAGTACCTGGCAAATTGCCAGGCTGATCTTTTGCCTTGGAAACCTTGGGCACCCTTGCATTACCTTTCATACAGGAAACTTATCTGAAATCAAAGATCTGCTAGTTACCCTGCTACTCTGCCACGTGATTGAGTTTCATTTCCTGTACAAATAAAATCCAAACAGTGTTAGTTTTCTAGTTTTCTGAAGGACCAAAGAAACCAAGGGGCAGAGGTAGGAGCAGATACTTTGAATGAGATGAGGGATTTAATGCAGAAAAAATTATCTTCTGGATAACTGGGCATAGAAGACTGACTCTGTAGTGACTGTGTGTAGAAGGAAGCAGAAGTTACATTATACATATTAGAAGGTTTGCAGAGAATGTCTTAGCGAAATAAATACTTGGAATAGGTTAAAAACAAGTTTTGCGTTTTGAATCAGAGTTCTTTAAGAATGAAGGAAGTAAACGTATGAAGGAGGGCAGTAATAGTCTACTACGTTGGAGTGAACTTCTTATAACTAAACGGGATGCTAATGGGATGATCAAGGAGAGTCTATGAAGAAGTATGGAAGACGTGAGAAGAGATTTGCAGCTTCTACAGGTAGTATGAATTTGAGGTAGACAAGGAAAGGAGATAGAAAAGTAGATGAAGCCAGAGTAGATTTTGGAGATGAGCTGACTATTCTGTTCTGAATCACACCTTCATCTCCTGAGATGGTCACAGGGAAAATAATCAGCTGAAACCTGTTTGAGCAAGGGAGGTAGAGCCAATTAAAACTATCAAGGTATAAATGAGAATCAACAACTGTGAGGGCTAGGAATTAAAAGGGGTGGAAGGGCTGGGGGCTGTGTCTCCATGCTGGGTTCGGTAACAAATGTCCCAGCTCGCTCTGTATTCCTGGAGCTTGGGTGTTTCTTGTTCTCACCCTAATGCGAGCAGGCTGGGGCAGCTCGTTCACCGCCAGACCCGTCTGTTCCATTTGTAATAATCATAGCACTGTCTTCCTCCCCTTCCCCCATTCTTGTCAGTGAAAAGCTTTTCTGTAAACTAATAAATATGCAGTGACGTTAGAGTCTTTAAAAAAGACCTCTAGAGATCTTAAAACTTTTTTGTTGATGAGTCATACAGAATTAAGGCTTCAAAAAGAAGCCCTGTATTTTCTAGAGTACCTGCTTTGGTCTGTCAGCGTTCCATATGTCTCCATTTTAATAACACAAAGATGATGGATTCTGATATCTGGAGTGAGTCTCAATACTAAATATTTTCCTTTCTGAATAATGCAGCTCAGTGTTCCTAAGTCTAAATGCTTTCCATAAAGATCGGCCCTAATGAGAGGAACTGCATGAGAGAACGTGACTTCCGCATGTTGCACACGGTCGTTCCACAGAGATACTGAGAGAATAATTTTCTATCTGTTGATATTGGCTGATCTTTTCAGTCAGTGAGCCTATAGTGATTTCCCTGGCAAGCAAGGCCTCTGCACTGTGGTCCTGTGTCCATCATAGGTCCAGAGCTAATGCATATACACAGTGAAAATGAGATGTGCATGCACACCATGTGCAGAGGCAACTACTTCCCTGTTCTTGAGTCAGGCAGCAGGAAAGACTGCAGTCCTGTGAATTATTCATGTAGTCCACATCTAGCCATCCTCTTCCCTGTGACATGTCTAACTGCTCAGATCTGTGTTTAGATAACTGCTGTTTTGTAATTGCTTTTTATTTGTGCAGAACTATAATCACCCTAAGAGAAAATGTTACTTTGGAATCCAGCTCTAATTGGCACACATCTTATGGCAAGTCTTTTAAGCTAAATGTTGTAAAAGCCTTTCAAATGTGAGGTTTGATGTAGAAAGAAGGGATGGTTATTGTAGTTTCAATACTGTAGAAAGCATTATTTCTTCTAGAACTTTGACATTTGGGATCTTCACTGGTATAACTCCAATTTTACTGTGATGTGTACTGCCTCTGTTCCAGAGCTGCTAGTAAAATGCACTTATTGTACTAATAATTTGAGCCTGTGTGAGAAGCCCTCTCCCCAGACTGTAGCCCTAGCTTGGTCATGACCACCTACTTACAGGAGAATGTGGTCCTGTACCCCAACTCCATTTTCACATGTAGACAAAACTACCATTTTTACACAACTAGGGTAGCGTGAATGAAGTACTTACGGTACTTCAATGGTTAGAAAGTTCAGAATGGTTAGAAAGTTACTGTTCCTATAGTTAGAGGATAGCACTCCCTGAGGAGTCACAGCAGTGGACCATGCGTGCTTCTAGGCAGAGTGGAATAAGTTCATCTCTGAGCCTTTTGAACAATCTGAAATGTGTCCAGTTACACTGACTTCCCTGAGGTTATCTTCAGGACAGGGAATAGAAAAGGACCCTAAGCTTTGGACAATCCACTTGGGTGAACTGAGGGAATGTCTGTAATTCTTCAGCTATGGTTAACTGTGACAGTTGTTACAGACTCTAATCCGTAACATCAATATTTAATGAAAATGAAACCAAATGGGAAAGAGCTTTTTATGTAATCTAAATGTACTTGGCATGCCTGTATCTCTAAATCAAGATAGAAAGCAGTATACCGTTCTCCTTTTGGTGTTTTCAAAGTTGGACCCAATTCTATCTGGAGTTGTAAGTATTCTGCAGCTGAATGGCCTCATAGGAACGGGAGGAAACCTGAGCTGCTTTACCCAGTTATTCTGCTTATATCGTGTGCTTTTTCCACACAATATTCCCCCCAAATACTCAAACTTTTTAGAACCTGAATCTCTACTCTTCTGCATCCTGTCAGAATCTGGACTTCTGTGCAGAACTGAACAGAGTAAGATACTGCCAAATAAAAATAGCACTGTTTGTGCAGATGTGAACAACCATGCAGAGTGCACAATGGAGAAGACTTGAGTGCTGTTGCAGATGTCCTGTTCTGGATTAATAAAGATGTCACATGGGATTGGCAGTATCAACCAATATACCTGTAAGGAACACCTGAAGTTTATGCTGTTTATGCTTTGTAAATTCCTGAGCCTAGAGTCATTTGTTAACCTTCCTGTTGATTGATCTTGCCTGATTTTTGCCTTCCAAGGAATCTCTGAGACAGCAAATCACTGATGACCATCTGAGATATCTCTAAGAAGCAAACTCTTCTTAATGGTTGTCACTTGAGGGTGAATGGACTGCAAAAACTCTTGGTGCTCTGTTACAAAGTCATTAGGAGCTGATGAGGCAAATAATATCGCCAGCCTAAATATGTGCAATGTGTGCACTAAGAGAAACTGAATTGCTCTCTACAGAACTACTACTTATCCACTTTGCCAGCCCTATGGTGAAAGATATATCCCTCATGATTCTTCATGCCTGTGCATTTTCTTCCACTTTTTTTTTTTTTTTTTACTACTTTTATGCTTTTTTACTTGCTTTTAATTTATCTTCAGATTTTGGCCATAGGTTGTTAATTTTTAAGTAAAAGGAACATGCTGCTCTAAATCCAGTGATGTCTGTGCATTAGGTGCTTTACTTTTCCTTGAATTCTTCTGGAAAGCCTTGTCTACAGTTTAAGATGTGCTTTAGATTTTGTGAGTAGAGCACCAAATTAATGGTGGAAATTTTGGTAGATTGGTTGTCAGGAACGTGGGTTAAGCTTTCTCATGCCCTTAATCTTCTGGTGTTAGGGGACTGAATGCCTTGGCACTGCTCAGAAAGTAATGGTGCTAGTGGTGCTTGGTGCTAGTCCAGAGGTGAGTGATTCAGAAGGATTTCATACCAATTTAACAACTGGAAGGAGGCTTATGCAAAGTTAGGCCTATATTTTATGTTTTGATCTTTTAATTGACAGAACAGATTACTGTTGACACAACTCGTCACACGCTGCGCAGTAGCAAATTGTACAGAGCTGTAGAGGATGGCTCTAAAAACAACAACTTTGGCAAGAGGCTCCTTAGTGAGAGGAAAGTTAATGCCGTATTTCAATTAAAGCAAACGTTTATATGTGGAAAAACGGCCAGATCAGTTTTACAATGATACTAAAAGGCATCAAGGTGTCAGTAAAATAAACAGTGAAGGGTATCACTGTATTTGTCCAGCAGAAGCACAACTAAAGACTACAAAA